TGTTTCTGTGCTCAAGGACACTTGGAATGGGCCACGGCACTTGGCCACCAGTGGTGCTTCTTTGCACTCCTTAGGCAGGTCCCGATGTCCTGGGTGGATGTTGTGAACAGCAAAGTGCCAGGGCAGGCTCTGTGCCAGCCCAGCTTCCTGTGGCAGAGATTTCACAAGAGAGGATTCTGGCCACAGACTGCTTGAAATATACATCCCTTATCTCCACCCTGCACTAGGCAGAGAATTCCCAGGGTAAGGAATTCCAAAGATCGATTCCAAGGGAAATAATTGAATATCTGCCCTGGGTCTGCCTCTTATTCTTGCCCAAGCCAATGGCAAAAGCTGTATCCATGGCATCTTGGTTTCTCTCACCAGCTTCCAAAGGTGTTTCTTTATTTCCCCATTCCTTCTTTCTACCTGCCCAGAGCTCTGGGGGTGCAAGGGCTTGTGGAGGTCCCATTGTATTCCTAAAGCAGCCATAACCCCCTGAAGGGTTTTTCCTGTAAAATGAGTTCCCCATCTCAGAGTCTGTTAGTTCCACAATTCTTTATCTTGGAGATATTTGTTTTAAAAATACTTTAATAAGTGATCCAGAGATTGCTGGAGAAGTCAGAATTGCTTTTTTCACCCTGTTAGCTGCCATGCTGTCACCAGAAGAAATTTGAGCCTTCCTGCTCAGGGCATTTAAGTGCCAGGCTCTTCCAAGCACACCCAGCTCTGCCGGTTGAGCTGACCATGCAGGCGGTAACCTGAACTTGGTCTAATTCCCTTTCCTTCATCAGAGCTTGTCTTAGAGCTCTTTTCCCTTCTTCTGCCCTTGAAGAGCCATCCATAAGCACATTTTGTCCCTCAGGCCAGGGAATGTCTCCTAAATCACTCCTAGGCTGGCTCTGGGGCTCTGTCACTTGAATGCAGTCATGGTGGGGAGCACCAAGGCCGGGCCCCCCCGGGCTGTGGTGGCGGCAGCGGCTGCAGTGGGGAGCGAGTGCGGGCGGGAGCGGCCGAGAGCCCAGCGCTGCCCCAGCCCGAGCTGCCCCAGCTCCATCGCTGCCCCTGCGCTGGGATGCTGTGGGTTTCGGGGGAAGAGGGAGCTGGCAGTGGGTGCTGGGCCTGGGGGCAGGAGGCGAAGGGAAGGAGAAGCAGGGATGGAGAACAAAATAGTCAAAGGATGCATGGGGAGGAGAAGGTGGGATTGAGTAGGAGGAATAGTAGGGACACAGGAGTAGGAAGAGCAGAAACAGGAAGGAGCACAAGGTTCCACCCCTCCCTGTGTCTGCAGCCTCTCCCCAGGCCTCAGGAGCATTGTCCCCATCACATGCAGCAGGTGACCGGAGAGGGGGATCCATGATTTTCACATGGGTTAATCTTGGTATTTCTGAGCTTTATTTGGCTAAATGTTGGTGCTTTGGTTTTTTGCAGGGGCTGAATCTCAGTATTTTGGAGAGGGTTTTGGCTAAATCTTGGTGTTTGTGGGGTTTTTGATCTGTGTCATGATGGGAGGATTTTTCGTCTGAATCTTGGTGTTTTAGACGTTCTTACGCAAGATGCCCAATGACCTCCTGAGTTGCACTTGGGCAGGGAGGAACCACCAGCCCAACACACTCTCCTCTTCTCTTTTCCCCAAACCAGGATTTTTCATTCCCAAGACGTTGGCAGATGGAGGAGGAGGAAAAGCCCCAGAGATCCCTCTCAAGGAGCGGCTGCAAACCCAGCCCAGGGAGCTGCGAGGAGGAAAGACCCTCCCTGAGCTGGGAAGGCGGCCGGAGATCCAGGCAGAGCTCAGAGCTGGTGGAGAAGCCTCCTGGAGGGGAGAAGCCCCACAAGTGATTGAAATGTGGGAAGGGTTTTAACTCCATCTCTGAGCTGATCCTGCACCAGAGAATCCACACTAGTGGAAAGCCCTATGAATGTGGGGATTGTGGGAAGAGCTTCAGCAACAGCTCCGGCCTGAGCCGGCACCAGAGGATCCACACTGGGGAAAAGCCTTACGAGTGTGGGGAATGTGGGAAGGGATTCAGAGACAGCTTCTGCCTGATCCAGCACCAGGTGATCCACACAGGGGAACGGCCCTACAAGTGCTTGGAATGTGGGAAGAGCTTTGGGTGGATGTCCAACCTGATAAACCACCAGTGCACACACAGTGGGGAGAGGCCCTACAAGTGTCTCAAATGTGGGAAGAGGTTTCACAGAAGCTCCACTCTCATCAGACATGAGCGGATTCACACAGAGGAGAGGCCCTTCCACTGCCCCGACTGCGGGAAGAGATTCAACCGCAACTCCACCCTCACTGTCCACCAGCGCATCCACACTGGGGAGAGGCCCTACGAGTGTCCTGAGTGGGAAGAGGTTTCAGACCACCTTCAATCTCCTCGTACATGAGCGGATTCACACAGAACAGAGGCCCTTCTGCTGCCCCGACTTTGGGAAGGGATTCAAGCACAACTCCCCTCTCACTGCCCACCGGCGCATCCACACTGGGGAGAGGCCCTACAAGTGTCCTGAGTGTGGGAAGAGCTTCTCACAGAGCTCAGCCTTGACCCGACACCAACGGAGTCTCCACTAAGGGAAGCCCTGTGAGTGCCTGGAGTGTGGGAAGAGCTTCGTGCTCTGCTCCAGCTCCATCCCCCATGGGAGGATCAGTGTTGGATGATCCCCAGTGACCCCCGTTGGGCAGAGCCCTGGTGATCTGTGGTCCTGGTGATCCGTGTTGGGTGGGGCAAGGGGTTGGAGAGATTTTTCTGCTCTGGGAGTGGACAGGGAATGGAATGGCTGTGGACTGAGAAGAAATGGGAGGGACTCTGGTGACACGGGGAAGGACTGTGAGGACAGCAGGAGCAATTGGGATGAACTTGGAGAGCCACCGGAGTCACTTGGAGTGAGGAGCAGGAGGCCCCGGGGATGGGCACAAGAAGGGCTGATGTGTCTCGGGTGATTCCCAGGGAGGTTTTGAGGGGCTCCAGAGTCTTTCCCAGAGCAGGGCCCGAGGGGACACGCTTTGCCCCACGCTCACCTCTGCGCTCCACGAGGAACAGGCTGGACAACTCGTAGTTGTGCCGGCAGTGCCTGTCCACCGCAGCCCGTCTGTACTCCATCCATTGCGGGTCGCTGTTCCAGTGCCTGGCAGCCTTGTCCCCAAAGGAGGTGTCCCCACGTGCAGCCCCACATCGCTGCCCAAGTGCAGGAACTGCTCCCGGTTGGAGATGTTCCTCTCCACGAACCTCAGCCGGTCGGTGCCGTGAATGAAGTGACGCTCGGACTTCACCATCTCCTGGAACAGCGCTGTGTGTGCAGGACATAGGTCCGGGGGTGCCCCCCAGCAGCCCCCCAGCAGCCCACAGTAGCCAAGAGCTCCAGGGCAACCCCGACTCCGCATCCCCAGTGCCCCACAGCCACCATGGGACCCTTCTTCCCGCAGTCCCAATTCCTCTTTTCCACCCTTCTCTGTATTTTCCTCCCCATTTCCCAACACTCCCCAGTCACCAGCCCCCCCCCCAACATCTCTTTGGGGGTCCCACCTCCCCATTTCCCTTCCTCTCCCCACTGTTCCCACCATTCCCACCACTTCCCTTCCTGCCCCTCCCGCTCACCCGAGAGCTCTGCGCCCCCAGCCCGGGGGGCTCCCAGTGGCACCAGTAGGGCCCCAGCTGCCCCACACGCCCCATGGCCAGCGCCGGGCAGGGTCTGACACCTCCCCCGCCCCAAATTCTCCTGGCAGGGGGCGCTGGGGGCGGGGCGCGGGTGGAGTCCAGGTGAGGAGCTCTGGGCGCTCTGGGACTGCCTGAGGAGTCATCAGTGCCGCGTGCTCTGATTGGCTCAATTATTTTGGTGCCTTCTCTGATTGGCTGAGGAGAGGCCTGGGAGTCGAGAGGAGGACCGGGAGAGATCCTGCCCCAGGCTAGCGGTGGAAGAACATCCAATTAACAAGGCATGCAGATCATTTCCCAGCGGACCCCACACTCCTGTAGGAACTAAATGCACCGAGGATCTCACGAGGGTCACCAACTCTCTGGCGGCCAAATCCAGCCCTGCGCTCCCTGCGGGTGCGGGCACTCTGGGAAGGGCTCAGCTGCAGGTCAGATGGCCAGAGAGTGGCTTGGTGGTCACCTCGTGTGTGAGGCAGTGATGGGCTGGGGAGATGCGTGGACACCACATGATCAGAGAGCTGACTGGGTCAAGGGACACGTCAACAGCGACACCGCAATGACAGGCAGCCAATGCGGGCTTGTTTCAGTAAAGTTTGGGTTCGGTTTGGGTTAAGTTTTGAGTATAAAAAACGTTCAGTTGGTTACAATAAACGATCTTCTTTGGAGCAAGCAAGCAAATCCGTGTGTCTTTGTTCCTCATTGCTACACATGACCATGAGATGACCATGATATGATTGTAGCCTTGAGTTGACCACAAGACGATCATGAGATGACCATGACCATTTGATGGTCATTACTGTGACCATGCCCATGAGGTGATCATGACCATGAGAGGACCATGACCATGAGCATGAGATGATGGTGCTCAGGAAATTACTGTGACCATGGCCATGACATGACTGTGGCCATGAGCTGACCACAACATAACCATGACCAGTTCATGAGTGTGAGCATTTCATGACCATGACACAGCCGTGAGGTGATTACGGTCATGAGGTGACTATGAAGTGACCATGACTTAACCATAGCCATGGGGTTATAAAAACCATGACATGAGGCATGGATCACCATGGCCATGATACAAGAATGACCATGAGATGACCATAACAATGAGACAACCATGAGCTTAAGATGACTATGACCAAGAGATGGCCATGAGATGACCACAACACAACCATGGCCATGAGACCATTGTGACCACGAGGTGATTCTGAGATGACCATGTAATGACCATGACTGTGAGATAACCACAACATGACCATGGCAGGATCAAGACCATGACATGATAGTGACCATGAGATGGCCACAAGATGATCATGAGATGACCATGACCATGCAATGACCATGACACAACCATGATCTTGAGATGACTGTGACCATATGATGACAATGACCATGATATGAACTTGGTTTGAACTATGACCATGACCATGATATGATGGTGATCAGGCAATGACCATAAAATGGCCCTGAGATGACTGTGACCATGAGAGGACCAGGATCATGGGGTGACCATTACAACAATATAACCATGACTGTGAGGTGACCATGAACTTGAGATGATTGTGACCAAGAGATGACCATGAGATGCCCACAACACACCATGGCCAGGTGCATCATGATCATGATTTGACTGTGAGATGCCCATTACAGCGACATGACCGTGAGCATGAGATTACCAAAACAGAACGATGATCGTGACATGACCATGGCTGTGAGACAATCGTGACCATGAGGTGACTGTGAGATGACCATGAGATGACCATGACTATGAGACAATATGATTTACCAAAATATGAGTATTGGTTTATTGGTCCGATACTCAGCTGTAACAGACAAAAGACTCTCTAACAATTTAAAGTTAGAAAGTGTATGTTTATTCAGTGCTGGGCAGCAGCCTGAGCCCCCCCCCCCCCCTCGCTTCCTATAGTAATTAGCTTGAATGGCTATTAAGCAAGAGCGGTTGGCTTCTTGAATTAAGTCTGGAGTCCTTTTCGTGAGGAGGGGTCTCAAAAGGAAGAAGTAATGTGAGTGTTCCTCCCCCTGAACTCTCGACCTTTTCTATCAATGACAATAAAAATGGCTAATGGGGCAACTCCAGTTTCCTTCTCTTTGTGACTTTGAATTCGTTCCTGGTTGCAATTGTTTGTGTTTCTATGAATCTACCGACTAGTTTCATCTTTTCCCATTGCAAGCACAGCTGAGCAAACATAAAATGACAGGCAAACAATTATTTAAGTTTCACATAACTGTCTCAAACCCGATTTTCTTCTAACTAACTTCTAACTTTTCATTATTTTCAGCAAGGTAAATCTATCTAATGGCTTTTTATATAATTCTCGTAAATAACTAACTTTTAAATAAACCCCTAACTTTTCTAAGATAAGTGTTTCACTCTCCTCGGGCTCCACCCCCTTTCCAATCCCTTTTTCCAGCTCTTTTCCTCAGCAGACCCAAACCTGTGGATTTTGGGGAGCAGGAGGGGTCGCTCTGCTCGGGGGTCTCAGAGGTGCCCCAGGGAGGCCCCGAGGCCCCAGCGCGGTTCCCTCCGGCCCCTTGGAGCATTTGGAATCTCCAACTCTCAGCCAGCGCTGCCCGTGGGATTCAATCCCCCCTGCAGGGTTCTCTCCCAGACCGAGTTTATTTCCAGAGGGGTTTGTGGTTTCCCTTCGAGCCGGGGCCTGACGGCACCGGAGCGGCCACGGGTGCCGGGGCAGGAAGGGCTGTGGGACGGCACCTGGCCACAAACCTCCGGGAGGGGGACAAGGGCTAGGGGGACACAGAGAATAAACACGGGATTATGGAAAAAGTAAATAATGTATTTTATCTAAAATTAAATTTTAAATAAGAATTAAAAAAATAAAGTAATGGCAGAGCTACTTCTTCTGGGATTTTGGGTTTCTTGTCCTTGTTCCGGACTGGATCTGAGCCAGAAACCAGTGGGTAGGATAGACATTGCTGCTGAAAGGGCTTCATAGTGCCAAAACTAAAGTGTCGAGTACCAAGTAACACCCTGAGATTACGGGAGTCCCAGCACCCACGTTGGACTCCCTCGTTTGGAGCTGAAAGCGGAGCTCCACTTGTGACTCTGCTTTGTAACGAGGAATGTAAAAATCCAACACCGTTCCCAGTTCCCTCCCTCCGCTGCCCAGCCGTGCAGGGAGAAGGGATGGGGGTTACGGTCAGTTCGTGCCGCTGCTTCCCCCTCAGGGACAGGAATCCTTGCCCTGCTCCAGGGCGTGGGGTCCCTTCCATGGGGTCAGTCCGTGCCCTGTCCAGCGGGGGTCCCTCCCCAGCCGTGCGGTCACTCCTCGGCCCGGCCCTGAGGCGCGGGGCAGCCGCGCTCCGGCCCCGTCAGCGCCAGCGCCGGTTCGTGCCGGGCAGGAGCGGCAGAAGGAGCCGGGCAGCGGTGGGGGCTCAGTGCTGTCAGGAGGAAGAAGAGGAGGAAGAGGAAGGGGCTGGGGCCACCTGCGATGTCCGATCCCTGGGGAGCAGCGGCGGGCGGGGCCCTGTTGGAGCCGCCGTGAGGGATTTGTGCTACCCCGGGTCCCTGAAGGATTCGCTCCGCGAGACGGGCAAGGTGGGAATGAAAGGAGAGAATAAAATGCAAAGAGCCGCACCAAGAGCATCTCCTCTGTCCGCGTCTGAAGGAGCTGCACAGAAGCACTAGCAGACGGTGAACAGAATCAAATACAGAGAAAATAATAACATAGAATAAAAAGTTCTACGGGTAGGTCCCTGGGCCCGGTGTCACTGAAGAGCCGCTCCGCGGGACGGGCGCGGTCAGTGAGGCCAGAAGGGCAGCGCCGGGGCGGGTGGAAGGTGTGAATAGAATTAAATATAGAGAAGAGAATAAAATACAAGGAAAGAGCCGCACCGAGGGTTCCCCACCACCCGTGTTACGGAAGAACAGCACCAAGAGGCGGTGACAGTAGAGAACAGAATAGAAAAAACCAAAAAAACCCGCACCGCCAGTGGCCGCTGCCCGACACTAAAAGAGCAGCACCGAGGGCTCGTCGGGGCAGCACCGGGGCTTCTCGGCCGCCCCGTGTCACTGAAGGAGCCGCAGCGAGGCACGGGCGGGGCGCGGCCCGGATCGAGCCCCTCGAGCTGCGCGACGAGCGGCGACTCCGCGGGACGGCGGCGGGGCCGAGCGGCGGTGGCAGCCGGAGCCGGGGAAGCGGCTTCGAGAGGCTGAGACGAGCGGGGTGTTCTCAACCAGCTCCGCTCAACCCTTGGGCACTGCGCTGGGGCCGCCGCAGAATTTTCAGCCCCGGCCGCCCCCACGGGCCGGACCCCGCGGATCCCGCTGCCGCCACCTTGGTCCCTCAGAGCCCAGAAATGACAGAGGACACACAGCTGACACCGGGAATAATTTCATGTATCAACACTTTATTATTCCCCAGTATACCTTTTCCAGTATACGTAATACCTGTGTGCCCTTTAACTCTTTTGTAATTGGTCAATACAAATCAGTATTCCATGCTCCTTTTCCTTTAATGATACTCATCTGTCTTACACAGCTGCACCCTATTAGGGATGAGGCTCGGCCACAGCCCCATTCCTAATTTCTCACAATCTACTCTTCTACACAGAAACACCTGAAAATCGATCCCAGGCCCAAAAAAACCTTCCCGTGTGCAGCGAGAGTCGCGGGGGTTTCTTATGAACTCCCCTCCCATCAGTCCCTCCTGGGCAGTGCCGGGCATTAGCGCAGCTCCCGGGGCTCTCCTGGCACCAGCTGCTGCCACAGGGCACGGGCTTGCAGCACTTGGGTATTAAACACGACAAATCTGGGGAGGGAGACAGCCCTAGAAACCAGGACTTTGCCCTCAGGAGCTTGGAGCTGCATGAGGGGGATAAAGGATCCCCTGCA